GGTATTACAGCGTTGGCCCCACCCCTATACAAGCGTGGTGTCCCTCGGGCATGGGGGTCCTCCCTAAGGTGTGGGGCTTATTAGTTGGGCGTGGGGTCGGTTGGTTGGGCGTGGGGTTGGTTTGTTGGAGTGGGGTTGGTCCTAGGGCGTGGGGTTGGTTCGTTTAGGGTTTCTCCTTAGGCGTGGGGTTCTTCCTTGGGCGTGGAGTTTCTTCCTTGGGAGTGGGGTTCTTCCTTGGTCGTGGGGTCCCTCTTTAAGTGTGGGTTTCAAGATGGGCGTAGGGTTGATACATTAGGCGTGGGGTATCAGGATGGGTGTGGGGTTATCCCTTGGGCGTGGGGTTTGAGTTTAGGTGTGGGGTCCCTCTTAGGCGTGGGGTTCTTCCTTGGGCGTGGGGTCCTCTCTTTAGGCTTGGGGTTTGAGTAACGACGTGGGGTTTATTCCTAGGGTGTGGGGTATGAGATTAGGTGTGGGGTTGGAGTTTGGGCGTGGGGTTTGAGCTTGGGCGTGGAGTTTCTTCATTGGGCGTGGGGTTTCTTTCTAGGGTGTGGGGTTATTCATTGGGCGTGAGGTTGATACAGTCTACGTGGGGTTTGAGTTTTGGGCGTAGGGTTGATACAGTAGGCGTAGAGGTTTCTCTTAGGGCGTGGGGTTTCATGATGGGCGTGAGGTTCTTCCTTGGGCGTGGGGTTTGAGCTTTGGCGTGGGGTTTCTTCCTATGGCGTGGGGTTTGAGCTTTGGCGTGGGGTTTCTCCTAGGGTGTGGGGTTTCATCTTGGGCGTGGGGTTTGACCTTGGGCATGGAGTTTCTTCATTGGGCGTGGGGTTTCTTTCTAGGGCGTGGGGTTCTTTATTAGGCGTGGGGTTGATACAGTAGGCGTGGAGTTTGAGTTTTGGGCGTAGGGTTGATACAGTAGGCGTGGGGTTTCTCCTAGGGCGTGGGGTTTCATGATGGGCGTGGGGTTTCTTCCTATAGCGTAGGGTGAGCTTCGGCGTGGGGTTTGAGTTTTGGGCGTAGGGTTGATACAGTAGGCGTGGAGTTTCTCCTAGGGCGTGAGGTTTCATGATGGGCGTGGGGTTCTTCCTTGGGCGTGGGGTTTGAGTTTTGGGTGTAGGGTTGATACAGTAGGCGTGGGGATTTTTCCTATGGCGTGGGGTTTCATGATGGGCGTGGGGTTTGAGCTTCGGCGTAGGGCGTGGGGTTTCTTCCTAGGGCTTAGGGTTTTATCTTAGGCGTGGGGTTTCATCTTGGGCGTAGGGTATTAGGATAGGCGTGGGGTTTCACCTTGGGCGTGGGGTTCTTCTTTGGGCGTGGGATTCTTCTTTGGGCGTGGGGTTTCTTCCTAGGGCGTAGGGTTTAAGCTTAGGCGTGGGGTTCTTCTTTGGGCGTGGGGTTTCTTCCTAGGGCGTAGGGTTTAAGCTTAGGCGTGGGGTTTGCGTTTTGGGCGTAGGGTTTATACATTAGGCGTTGGGTTTCATGATGAGCGTGGGGTTATTCCTTGGGCGTGGGGTTTGAGCTTCGGCGTGGAGTTTCTCTTAGGGCGTAGGGTTTCATTTAAGGCGTGGGGGTTCTTCTTTGGGCGTGGGGTTTGAGCTTGGGCGTGGAGTTTCTTCCTAGGGCGTGGGGTGAGCTTCGGCATGGGGTTTGAGTTTTGGACTTAGGGTTGATACAATAGGCGTGGGGTTTCTCCGCGGCCACGCACCTCTGAAGTGAAGGTTGCGCCTGTACGGGTCTTTGTTGGACGATCTAACTAACTTCTCTTTGTTAGTTTTACTATTTATAGTTTTTTCTTCATTTTTAGAGAGGGAGGGAACTAGAATTAGAATTAGAATTAGGTTTGATTTTCTTAGAGAGAGAAACTCGAGTTCTTAGATTTTTAGAGAGAGAAACTTGAATATTGATGGTTGATGATTGATGATAGCTACATTTCGTTCGATTTTAATCAAGTTTGTAAGAATTTCCTTTACTTTAATTCAATCTTTAGCTTTGATTTCAATTGTTTGTTGATTGTTCAAGTTTATTGATTGTTTGATTGATTTGGTTTGATTGAAATGATGATGATGAATTTGTTGATTAGTGTAGTTTTGATCTTGATTTTCTTGATGGATTGTGAGTAGTTTATTTTCTAAGGAGATGGTGAAACATGTATGAGTAATGGATCAATGCTAATTGGGGGAAATTGATTGAGTTAGTTTTTTTATTAAATTGGTTAATTGATTATGTGCATGTGTGTGTTTAATTTAGGAGTGATCAACCTTGTTACTCACACTAGATTGCATTGTGAGTTCACCTTGATACGGACAATTGACTTGTGGCTTGCATTTGTCGATTGAGTTGGTTTGTGAAGTTCCTAATTAGAGTCTTTCGTAGTTGGCACTAGTTAGACCTCTAGGAGAATAGCTTATCATACTCTTTTGATTGCATTGTCGATTTTCCGGGCGAAAAAAGGTCAAAAAAATTCGAAATTGAAGGCTTATCCACGCTTTTTAAGGAATTTCGGAGGTCACGGGGCCCGGTGGCGAAAATTCTTGAGGCCCTAGAGGATACATCTCAGGGTCACATAATGCCGCTTGGAACCATATATGACCATTAAATGTTGTCGTAAATGTCCGTGGTAGGTTTGAGTTCACGAAATCGGTGCAACTTGTGAACTAGTAAATTGATCGTTTTAAGATAAATTGGATGTTTCCACCCACCTAATTGGACTTTCAAAGGAAATTTGGAACCATGCTAAACATCTCGGCTATTTTAATTTCCGGGCGAAAAAAAGGTTAAAAAATTCCAAAATTGAAGGCTATTATCCACACTTTTTAAGGAATTTCGGAGGTCACGGGGCCCGGTGGCGAAAAAGTCTTGAGGCCCTAGGGGATACATCTCAGGGCTATATAATGCCGTTTGGAACCATATATGACCATTATTTGTTGTCATAAATGTCCGTGGTAGGCTTGAGTACACGAAATCGATAAAAGTTGTGAACGAGAAAATTGACCGTTTTAAGGCAAATTGGATGGTTCCACCCACCTAATTGTACTCCCGGAGGATATTAGGGACCACGGTAAATGTATCGGCAATTTTAATTTCCGGGCGAAAAAAGGACAAAAAATTCCAAAATTAAAGGCTATTATCCACGCTTTTTGAGTTATTTCGGAGGTTACTGGATCCGGTGGCGAAAAGTTTTGAGGCCCAGAAGCTGAAGGAATAATAGAGAGAACACAGTTCCACACAAATATTTTATATTTATATGGAACTTTGAGCTTCCAGAAGGATTTCGGCTGAAGGAGAAAGAAAGAGTGACTTTGATTGGATTTGTGACAGAAAAGTATGTTGTTTTGGTTGTGAAAACTCCAAACTTATGAAAAAGCCATCTGAGCTGATCTGGAAATAAAATAGGGTCAATTATTGAAAGAAGGGTACTCAAAATTAGAGTGATGATATGATTGGGAAGTAGATACTTTATATCATCAATATACCAATTTCCATTTCTTATAATGTTGGAAACTCTCCAATTACATTTAGATTGTGGAATATCTGAATCAATGACCTGATATAAAGGAGCTGACCCCACCCCAATAATGATACCAAAGAGAGGTATCCTCTCCATTTCCAATTCTGATAATGACACCCTTAAAAAGAAGATCTCTCCCCTTAAGAATATCCCTCCACATTGAAGATTGAGAAGCATTAGGGATACAATCTTGAAGGTGACTTCTTCTAGCATATTTATCTTTTAAGATTTTAACCTAAAGCTTATCAGGATTTGTCAGATAAATTCACCCCAATTCGGCCATGAAAGAAAGATTCCACTATTTTAAAGACCTAAGACCTAACCCCCCTAGGGCAGTGGGAAAAATGATATTGTTCCATTTGGTTCTAGGAGTGTATCTGATTGAATCAGATCTATTCCAAAGGAACCTTTTACACTGTTTTTCAAGATCTTGAAGGATGGAGCAAGGGAGAAGACTGGTTTGCATAACATGAATAGGATATGAACTTAACACAGATTTTATAAAAGTACATCTACTAGCCATGTTTAAAAGTTTTGTCTGCCACCTCCTTTATTTTATCTAAGGTTTTAGTCATTAGTTCCCAATAGTCACCTTTCTTTAACTTATTTGGACTAATGTTAATACCTAGATACTTCCCAAAAGAACAGCTAGACTTAAAATTACTCAAGACAGCTAACTAGTGTCTAACATTATAATCCATTTTTGGAGGGAAAATAATGCTAGATTTCAAATCAGACACCAAACTCTTCCAAAATGTGCATCATATTGGTGAGGTTATTAACATTCCCAGTCCCAAATAAAAACACATCATCAGCATAGAAAAGGTGGGAAAGACTATGATTTTTAAAGATCTTCAAAGGCTTCCAAACCCCCTTATGAACACTTTCCTTAATTAATAAAGATAATCTTTCCATGCACATAACAAAAAGATGAGAAGATAGGAGATCTCCTTGTCTTATACCTCTAGAAGGATGAAACTCTTTTGTTATCTCCCCATTCCAAAGAACAGAAATAGAAGTGGAGGAAACACAGTGCATAATAAGCTTTATGGTAGAAACAGGAAACTCAAAGCACCTAAGAGTGTCAGCAATGAAAGACCATTCTAGACAATCATAAGCTTTGGCTAAATCCAACTTAAGAGCCATGATGTGTTTATTTTTCCTACACTTATGAAATAAATGAGCAACCTCTTTAATAAGTATGATGTTATCTTCCATACATCTGTTTTGAATGAAGCTAGATTAGAAAGGACTAATGACTCTATGTAAAATAAGAGATTATTTTAGTGACAAGCTTGTAAATGGTATTACACAGGCCAATAGGCCTAAAATCATTCATGCAAACAGGACTGTCTTTCTTTGGAATAAGGGAGATGGTAGAAGAATTAAAGATAGACAATAAAATCATGGATTGAACCACCCAAGTCATTCCAAAAGTGCTGATAAAAAAGAGGTTGTATACCATCTGGACCTCGACTTTTAATGGGATCCATCCTGAACAAGAAATGATTTATAGATAATAGTTGATTGGCTGATAAAGAAACTTTAATATCTAAACATACTCACAAATAAAATCAAACAATCAGGTTGTAATCATTATGCAAGTTGTATAGAGTAAGGCTTGTTGGCACTCAGACCAACCCAACCAGAAAACAATTACTCCATATTTGGGAAAAGAATTACTTATTGAAGAAATGTCAATGTAATATGAACAACAGACAAACAAGTTAGACCACCAAAAGAGTAATTCACCGGATGTTGTGCCGCAAGCTCCAGATTCTCAAGCTCATTTTGCTTAAACATTCACCAAAATCAACTTACTTCACCAATAATCAATTGTGGGATCAATAAATAATCACCAAAATCAACTTACTTCACCAATAATCAATTGTCGGATATCATTGTCATTCCATCTTAAGAATTCATATCTGTTAAGCTCAATATCATCTTCCTTCCAGTCGCTCATTTGTTTGGACTTGAGAAGTTGATGAAGCTTGCCATATACAAACGCCTGCAAAAATAAAATCATTCTTCACATTTAACAGCATAAATAGAAATTAAAACCATGTTTAAACTTCAAAAAATTGAGCTGTTTGTTTAACAAGAAAGCAGAAATTACCTCGACAACCGGGAAGCAACATGTGTTGTATCTTTGGTCATTAGAAACGATCTTTTCAGCATTCTCAAAAATCTTGTTGAGCATCACTTGCGCCCAACAAATCTTTTCAAAGCTGACCAAATTTTCTACCGCCAAGAATTAAAAGGAGGCTCCAAAGCCATCCGTTGGTGCATTTACAAAAAAACTCATTAAGTAGAAACTTAATAGCTTCCTAAAAATTTCTTCATCCTGCTTACCGTAGACACCCATTTGTTAATTTACAAATTGTTTCACGTAATTTGTTAATTTACGAACTATTTCATGTTATTTGTTAATTGGCGGATAACTTATATATAATTGTTATTATCATGTTCCTTGATTATATTTATTGTTATTGCTTGATCACGCCTTTTATGCATGTTTAAAGGGAATTTGTACTTGTAATCACGCTTATATAAGATGATTAATAATCTTGTTTAGGGTTAATTTGATTATAATTCAAGTGATTGCCAATAATAGGATTTATTTGTGCATTAAATTCAACAAACATAGATTAAATAGGTTTAGGGTAAACCTATTGATTGCATGTTAGTCAGAAAGCGCACATGAATACGATTAGAATAAAGTAGAGGCCTATTATTAGACAGGTTCAATCTCTTTTAGGTTGGATTTGTACCTTCATCCCCGAGATACCAGTTATGGTTCCAGACATATTGAAGTTGACAATCTCCTGGATCGTTAGAGGTGTAACCTTCACCTCGTGAACGGTTTACAAGTTCCTAAAACTTGTTGGCGAGTCTTTTGCTCTAGTTTCCTTCCCTTTGGACGCCACCATGCTTAAGTGTATGATCACAGTGGGGTTCAAGCTAGGGATAATGCTTGAAATATTCCCTACACTTGCTTTCAACTGTCAACTGAAGTAAATAAAAAACAGTTGTAATACGCCCAGACCTACAGCTTTTAACTTTACCCCCTTGTTGGAACTTAGTCGTTGTCGGGGTTTTTTCTTTCTTGCTTTTCGCTACCTCAATGCTAGATTTATATCGCTGGTATAACTCATCATACCAGGTTTGAGTTTGCATATAGGTTTTTTCCTCAGTAAAGCATTCACCGGTTTCACGCAAACCGGCGATCTTTACTATATCACCAAGACTGAATGATATGGTCTTATCTTTAACTTTAAAACAATTGTTGTCTTTATCATAGGTTTGCAAAAACCTACATACAAGAAAATTTGATGTTTTTTTTTTCTTTAAGATTTAGCAACTTATAAAATTGAGAATCTAACATCAAAATTTTCTTCTTGGTGTCTAATTCTAAGTCTGTAATGACTGTTATAGAGCATCGGCAATCGAATTTCACCATCCTTTTTGAATTTAATTTCACCATCCTGAAAACACATATTGTCTAAGTAGGATTATGTTTGACGGAAATTGTCTAACAGAGTAAAATCAGCAATTGCATGCATATGAAAATCAGTCAAGATAATTTTATAATGAAAAACAACACGACTAAAAATGCTAAGGTGACAATTCAAAAAGATTACTAATGTACAAGTTCTTACAGATATTGTCTAATTAGGATTATGTTTGAGGGAAATTGTCAAAAACTTGTAACATAACAAACTCAGCAAACATCTTTTTTTTTTATCTGGGTATTCCCAGAATCAACACAATCAGAGTTGGGAATTTGATCAAGCACAAAGTTATTTATTGGATTTTATTTTAAACTGAAAGAGATTTCTCTTTCAATTTTAACCGTAATTTTAATCTGTCTCTAGTAAGTTTCGCATTATTACTAAATCAAATTTCTAAAACCTTGAAAATACAAATCAAATTTCTGAAATGTAACTCGATCCAAATGTGTTCAAGTAAATTCGAAGAACAATTCAGAAGCATAATTAAGCTCAATTAAACACAAAATTCAAGTAAAAAACAAAATAATTTAAAACCCCCAATTCAATTACATTTTCGAACCCTAATTACAAGTAATTTGATTTGATTTGCAAATATCAAACAGACAACAAGCTTTGCATGCAAAGAAAGAAATATAGCAAAATTAGGATTAACATTCATGGGAAAGCACTTGATTATTGAGCAATTGGGGCTAAATAAATTAGAGCAAACTTACTGTTTGCAAGGAGGAAACCGTGAAGGGGCAGCGGCGCAGCGAAGAGTACGAGAGGAGAGGAGAGACTCAGGGAGGTTGATGATGGTGAGGTGGTGGTGATGAAAGTTCAGAGCAGCCACAAAGAGAAGAGAATTGGGGGGTCTGATGGAATTCGTGGGTTTGGGGGAATTGGGGATTTTTGGTTTTCTTTCCTTTTTATTTTTAAGTTTTGTTATTTTTATTTATTTTATTTAGTTTTATTTCTTTTTATTTTCTATTATTTAGCTTGTATATAAATACCCTTTTGGGGTTATTTTCTCTTAACTTTCAATCAAAAATTATTTTACCCTAAATTAGATTAGTCTAGCCTCTTTTATTTTCTCACTCTGTTAGTCCACTAAGACCGGTATAGAGTAAGGCAGTACAACACTAGCACTAGCTAGGGATGTCAGTGGGGCGGGTCTAGTAGGAGACCCGCCCCATCCCCATCCCCACCCCGATGGGGCGGGGATGGGTCTAGCTTTGGCGGGTCGCGGGGCGGGGATGGGTCTAAAATCCATACCCGCCCCGCCCCGCCCCGCCTGAGCCACTTCATACCCGACCCATACCCGCATTATACCCGATCCATATTTATATATTAAAATACTTTGTATATATATACAGCAAAAAAAATAATAATAATAAAAAAAAATAAAACACTGATTTAACTAATGAAGTTTCCAGATTTCTTGAGAAAAAAAAAAAAACCCACCTAACTTCTCATTTAGTCATTTTCATTTTCAAGAATCAAACCCCAGCCGACTCTATCACTCTCCTTTCTACTCTCTCCTCTCACTGTACTTCCTCTCGCCGCCGAATCAATCACCAACTCTGAATCTCGCTGCTGAGTTGTGCGCCGATCAACTCTCCGACCAACAATCTGATCTGCACTTCTTCCTATTCGGTACTCTCTCAGTCTCTCTAACTCTCTCTGTTTTTTTTCCCCAATTATTTTTTCCCTTACAAATTGTTGGATGAAAAATAAGTTGACTAATCAACTAAGAAATTAAGAAACCATATAGATTTTGGATGATTAAAACTACAAGTTTGATTTTTGTATAGTTAATTTGATTTGCGTCTGTTTTAGGTAACAAAATAATTTTTTTTGATGAAAATTAATTCGGCTAATTAACTGAATAATATGCTATGATATTTGATTACTTGTTTTTTTTTAGTTTGACATTTTTTTAAGCTATCATAGTGGTAAATCAAATGCTAAAACTGTAAGTCTATAAGCTTGAAATAGCTAGGGTTTATGCCTAGCACGAACCTGCATGTACTCACAAACTATAAGCTTGTTATGTTTAAAAGATACCATATTCACATTATATAATTACTTGGGTTCTTCTACACTGAAAATATATTTCTTCAATTACAAGACATGGAAGGTCATCTAATCGTTACTAAGCTATAAAAAAAACTTTCTTCTTTTTTCCTTTCTTGTTAGTCATTTTCCTCTTATCACACTTTCTTTTTGAACCACAAGCTGATGTATCGACAGGAAGTGGCACAGGTTGAGAGCATGTCACTAGTCCTGGCTTTCTGAACTCGTGTTTGGTTGGAACATGAGATCTTTCTCGGGACACAATCGCCACACCAGTTTCACCCGTACCTTCAAAGTCTCGTTCTTGAAATGGGGTCAATTGCATGTAAAGAGTAATCAACTGCAGAAATAGATTTAGCCTTGGATTTTACAATCTCTGACAGGTGCACTCCTTCTCCGGAATTATCTGCACAATTTGGAAGCAAGTAAAATATAGATTGGTGCATCACTGTTGCAAACTCAAATGTGTATGTGTGCGGGGAGAAGATAAAATGTGTAAAATATAGAAGATACCTAAAATAGATAAAATAGCAGCACGTGCAACTAGCTGCTCAGCCTCTTTCTTATTCGCAGTAGGTTGACCAACATATTTCACTCCATTAAAAACCAGAGATGAGACAAAAACAGGAACAATGCTCTCAACCCTAACAGTGTCATGAGTGGGCCTTTCTTTGTTCATCCTTACAGCGAATTCATGGAGTATAGACTTGCAAAATATCTTATCCTGAAACATGAAAAGAACAAGAAAAATGACAAAAGGGAATATTTGACTCGATTAACTTCTTCACTTAATTTGCAATATGAAAAACTAACATCAATTAATTTTACTACTTGTACAACATCCAAGGATATACCACCTTATGAAAGGAAGTATTTGTCATATGTATTAGTATAGATTTTCTAGATTTAAAAAAACAGTAGCGATCATTTAGGAAACCCTAGATTGTGAATTGTAAGGAATTATGAAGAACAAAATTTTTGATATGCATGAACCTGATGAATAGGAGGAAAACACCCGTCAGTTGTCTTCTCTGATACACGCTCTTTAATCTTCTTAGTTATGCCTTCCAATGCAAGCCTTGCAGCATCTTGCTCAGCTGCTTTTCTAGTAGAAAATGAATTAAGACACGTGTATGCATCTCCATCTACCTCGACAGTAGACCTATATTGAGGAGTATGTGGTGGTCCTCCTTCATTGATGGTATGATATACTGGAAATGCTATTACTTCCCTTTGGGCAAACTCCAGCAACCGATTCTTATATAACAAATGCTCTGGAATACCTACATTAATATTGTAAATGCTATCAAGTTTTTTACCACTGGCTATTGCACAAAAATCAGCATTAGTTGACTAGCAACACATAGATGATTGATACTCCATATTACTGACTTGCTTTTTCTAGAAAACCTTATAATATACAAGCAGTGGCGGACCCAGGAATTTCCGACTGGTGAGTCACAATCGATAATCAAATATGTAAAATAAAATTTCACAATGACATGTAAGGAGACATTTACTTCCTAAACTTGAAAATAAACAACACGATTGGAGACCAAATTAACTACAACGGATGTAGCCTAAATACATATCAGTCCGCAACATGTTTTACAGGATGATCAATAATTTTGAAGCAATGCCTCAAGGCGTAAAAGCAATCCTTTTTTGGCACTTCAATATGATTCAAGCATATGATCAGGAATAAAAACGAATAACAATTGATTCACAATACAAGTATACAATATTCCCAGCATGAAATAGACTCAAGAATTACAGAAATTGCCCGAATTAAAACCAAAATTACAGAGACTCACCCATATCCAGGCGAAGAGGAACTGAGGTCTGAGGAAGAGGCGAAGAGGAAGATGCGAACTTGCGAAGAGGAAGAGGCGAGCTGGCGAAGTGGGCTAGGGCTAACTCAGACGTTAGAATTTTTTATTTTTTTTATTTTTAAAAAAAAAAAAAAAACTTAAAATTTTTTTTGGGCCCTGGTGAGTCACTTGACCCACCAGGCACAAGCCCAGGTCCGCCACTGTATACAAGCATTGATTGAAAATATCCCACTTTTCAACAAGGACACACTCCAAGGACTAAAATCACTCATTGTTATGGGGATCAGATCTACAACAATTTAGGAAATGACCCAATCCAAATAGGAAACAACGAGCAAATCTAGGGGAGAAATAGGAATAGAAAATATGAAAAACTATAAGTAAAGAATCTTCTTAAAGTTTTACAACTTACCCTTTTGTTGTTTCAGTTGTTGGGATGACATTAGAAGTAAGCCAGACTGGGAAACAAATTGGGCAGCCATTATAGTCAATTGCAGCTAGAAATGAAATTGTCCGCCATTATAGTCAATAACAGCTGGAAATGAAATAAAAAAAAGGATTTGGTTTTCTATCTAGAAAATGTAAGGTTAGGAAACAAGAAGGGAAAGGGAGGGAAAGGGGGAAGAAGGAAGGAGGACATAAGGAAGGGGAGTGAGAAGACAAACATGTCATTTCCTTCCAAATCTCTCCAACAACGGGAGGATTTGGTTTATTAAAGAGGGAGGGATATTGCATCCTTTTATTTCCCTTCCCTCCCCCCATGTGTTATCCAAATAAGGGAGGACGGTTCCCCCCTTTCCTTTCCTTTCCCTTCCCTCCATTTCCCTCCATCCAAATGAAGTGTAAATCATCTCATTTAAAACTTCAATTATATTCTAAAGCTTTTTTGTGTAATGCATATAAATCCCATTTATGAAATTACAAACCCTATGTTAATGGCACTCGACTGAAAATAATCTCAACCATTGTGACCATACCAAACACACACATAAATTCCTAATTCTCTCTTCTTAATTCATCAATTAAATACAAGAACTAATAGAATTACAGATATAATTTTATATTAAAATCATGGAAAAGAGAAACAAAAGGAGAAGTGAAAGGAGCGAGGAACACCTCTGAAAAGCGTCACAAGTGGTAGGATGCGGGGTGGTCCGGCGTCGAAGGCTTGGAGCAGCAAAAACTGAGAAAAATAAAGAAAGAAAATGATGGAAACCACAAAAATCAACCTAAGTCACTCAAAGCATAAAAAATTAGCAAATGATCACGCCAAACACACACTTAAATTCCTAATTCCAGCAAACATATATATACGTTCAACCCTAAAATTAACATCCTTAATTTCACTTCTCATTAATGTTCACGAGTTTCTATACGCTAAAATAGGAACAAACAATAATCAAAGCCAAAACACCCCAAGTCACTCAAAGCATAAAAAATTGATCACGCCAAACACACACTTAAATTCCTAATTCCAGCAAACATATATATACGTTCAACCCCAAAATTAACATCCTTAATTTCACTTCTCATTAATGTTCATGAGTTTCTATACGCTAAAATAGGAACAAACAATAATCAAAGCCAAAACAAGGCAAAGACTTCATAATAAACTGATTTTTTCATTCATTCATCCAAATTGTCATTACATCATATCATTAACCTACTACAAACTACTCTATTTAAGGGATCAAATGCTAAGCTTAACCACTATTACACTCATTACTATTGAAACAATTGCACAGAAAAAAAGTAAATAATAAGCTGATTGTTGTTAGCTTGTTGGCCACCTATCATGCTAGCTTCTTTCACCATCACCTTCTTCATCCTGTCATGTTCCATGCAAGCTACCCTAGCCTTAAGAACACTCATATCAGAAGCCAACCTCTGTTTCTCACTCACCAGAACATTTGTGACATCTTTCTACCACTCAACCATGTCTTCATCGATCCATTCAAAAAAGTCACAACCCCTTTGCCCTGTTTCAAAGTTGTAAAATTTACAACTCCTAAATCGTCTCCCAGGATTGTCACGGGTCCATGATGTCCTTTGCACCAATAGAATCCCACAATTGCACTTAGTTCTCTTCATTGCTATGGGATTAATTAAACAACAACACAAAAACGAAAAGGGATCAATCTAAACAAATTAATAGTTCTTATCTTGTGCGAATCTTCCTCAATTACCCTCCTCACATAATTATGGATAAATTTTGGGATAAATTAAATTAAGGGACGAAATTAGAAATTGTAAATTAGGTGTATAACACAAAAACGAAAAGGGATCAATCTAAACAAATTAATAGTACTTATCTTGTGCGAATCTTCCTCAATTACCCTCCTCAAATAATTAGGGATAAATTTTGGGATAAATTAAATTAAGGGATGAAATTAGAAATTGTAAATTAGGTGTGTAAGTATTACAGATCAATCGAAATTACCTGTTAATTGGCGGGTGGACGAAATGGCGTCACGAACCCAGGAAGATGAGGAAGACGAAGAAATGCGCTTTTAAGGAAGAAGAAGAAGACGAGTAGAGTGAATTTTGGATGAAATGGCGTCACGAACCCAGGAAGACGAGGAAATGCGCTTTTGAGAAAGAAGAGGAAGACGAGTAGAGTGAATTTTATTTTTAAAACAAGCCCAAACCCGCTTCACTCTAATGCTACTGCTCTAATTAGTCCAATTGTCGGATTATATTCAGCGGGCCCAGCCCATCTTTTGGGCACGCTGATCCGGCCCATGAGGTCAAGGGCACCATAAAGCTTGACATGACATGCGATTTTTAATTAGTATACACTAGACCCTAGTGTAGGTACCATAACCTACACCCCCTACAAAACGCAGCGTTTTGCGTTTTTCCCCTACCCCCACAAACTACAGTAACTACCCCCACTAACCACAGTAAAAAAAAAAACTATCCATATCAAATTATTCTCTCTCTAAAAACCATCTTCTTCATTTTTGTAGAATTTCTCTCTCATCAACACCGTCGAATCGGAACGAAATTCTCTTCAAATTATTGCAAAATTGCTTCAAAACACTTCATAATTACTTCAAATGTCTGATATTCGAGATGAAATTAAACAATCGCAGCAGCATTTTGATAAAGAGTAAGTAATTTTGTTCATTTGATTACGATTTTAGTACAATTTTTGTATGAAGCATAATTTTGGTTCTTTTCCTTGTGATTGTAGAGTGATTTTGCAAAAAAACGCTTTAGAGAAGAACATGGAAGATAAAACTGGAAAATCAGAGCAAAATGTTACCAAAGAGTAAGTAATTTTGTTCATATTCTTGCGATGACAATTATAGTGCGATTTTATGTGTGAAACCTAATTTTTGTTCAATTTTTTGCAATTGTAGTATGATTTTGGAGAAAAATACTTCACAGACGAGTAATTTGTTGAAAATTTCTGAAGAAATGTATGAACCCTAACTTTTGTAAAACCTAATTTTTGTTAAAATTTTTTGCGATTGTAGTAATTGTTCTAAGATTTTACTGAAAATAACTAAAACATTAACAATTTATTAAATAAAACAGAGACGATGATGATGATGTACCTCTTCAGTCAAGAGTAGACAAATTGAAAAAAAAACCGCCAAAATGATCCAATTGTAGATCCGGAACTTTTAAAAGATATTGACAAGTCAATTGGTACGGATTTAACAATGTCTCCACTACCAAGGTAATTAGTCATTTACAGAATATATTATGTTCATGTCTAATATGCTAGTTGTATTTGATAAAATTGGTTTTATCTTTGTTTAATATGTTATTTGTATATGATCATATTTGATACTCATAATGTTCATTTATAGATATAGTTATGATCATATATTTATATTTGTTCATATGAGTATTTATTGAGATTTAAAAACAAAAGTACATTTCATTGAAACATCATTGTATATGATCATATTTGATACTCATAATGTTCATTTATAGATATAATTATGATCATATATGTATATTTGTTCATTTGAGTAGTCATTGAGATTTAAATAACAAATATACATTTCATTAAATCATCATGCACATATATAAATATGATAATAATCATTTCAGTGATATGCATTCAAACTAATGTCATGTAATTAATTTATAATGTAGTGATGTGCCATTTAGAGTGATACACTTGCTTCAATTTAGAGATGGGAAATCTGAACCATTAACTCTAAAGAAGGTTATACAACAAAATGAATATGGTAATAGTTATGAAAGATACACTTTAAACAAGTAAGTTTATATGTATAAAATAATTGTTTTTACATTCAATTATTGTACATTGTATATATATACCAAACTTATTAGGTAATTCTTAAAATTTTAGTGAAAAAAAAAAGGTTCGAGTGAAATTTGTTATGTCAAAATCAAGACCACCAGAGACAAATCAAACAATAAGGTATAAAAGCTTTATACAAAATAACTAATTATCTTCTTCATTGTATAAATTAGTTCATACTTTAATATCATATTATATAAAATAATTCTGTTTTTTTTAAGTGAACAAAGTGAGAACATTCCTGCTACTAATGCAACAACTAAGAGTGTGTCTGCTACACATAACACAACTGACAAAGAGAGCAGGGATGAAAGGTATACTAATGATCAATTTTATATAAACAAATGTTCATTTTTATAACAGTATATTTTATGTACAATTTATGTGCATTTTTTATTTAAAGTATTTCTTAATATTGATTTCAGCAAGCAAGAAGAAGTTCAACCAAAAGTGCAAAGCAATCCAGTAAAGAATAGTCTTGGCCAAAAGTAAGAAAACTTAAATGTTCAATTTAGATAGACTATATGTTCATTTGAAAATCAGTACAAAAAAGTTTGCTCATGGCCAATAGTAATATAAGTTATATGTTCATTTTTTTATTTACTAATCAAAATTGTAAATTCAAACATATTTTTAATGAAATATCAGAAAACCCAAAGATGATTCAAGAATAACAACATTAAAGGACAAGATGCAAGAAATACATTTAGACATAGAGAGAAACCCAAAGTATGTTTAAATTTAAATAATTGAATTAATTTAATCAATTAATGAATATATTTCAAAGTTAATATCATACATTTACAGAAAGTACAAAGAATCGACAATCAGAATTATGAGAAATCTCAAAAGAATGGAAAAGGCAAGCAAGGAAATCAGGAAAGGTAAATGATCATATTTATTGAATATTTTTGTTTAATAGTCATAAATATCAATTTTAACAATACTATTACTTTTGAAGGTGAAGCAAAAAAGAAAGAAAAAGGGCCAATAGAAGAGAAAACTGTGGAAAAAGGTAAAAATTTTAAAATGTACATTTTTATTACAAAAAATGTTCATATTGGAAAAGCATAATATTAAATATTCAATAAGATTAAAAAAATTAAATTTTAACTAAATAAATTTTAATAGAAGTACAAGAAGGAAAAAAAGGGACTGAAAAAGAGAAAAGCCCTAAAGACAAAACTGTGGAAGATGTCTTTCCAAAGACAACAAATGTAGAAGGTAAAAATTTATAAATGTACATTTTTATTACATAAAATGTTCATATTGGATCTACATAATATTGAATGTTCAATAAGATTAAAAAAATATATAAATATTAACTAATTAAATTTTCATAGAAGGACAAGAGGGAAAAAAAGAGCCTGAAAAGGAGAAAATCCCTAAAGAGAAAACAGTGGAAGATGAGTCTACAAAGACAACAGATCCGAAAGGTAAATAGTGGAAAATGTACATATTCATTACCTGAAATGTTCATTTATATTGTATATAGTAAACTTTTGTCATCCAATTTAATAATGTTTATTTAATCTTTTATATTTGATCATTTCATATGCAGCACAAATTGCACCTGATTTTGTTCAAATTGAGGATGAAACTTATCTTCTAGATCAAGATGATGATAAAGTTTCCACAAAACTTAGTGAGGAGACAGCTCCATCATCACAAAAAAGTGATCAGTCAACCAAAATGAAAACAAGATACAAAATGGTTGCAAGGAAAAACAAAAACAAAAGCCTTGTTGTTGTGCCAAGTGGTAGAATTACAAGGAGCCAAGGTAATCATAATACTTTTCTGTTACACAATAAATATTACACTTTCAAATATACTAACATAAATTTTTTTAAAAACAATAGATGTTCTGTTAGATGAATCTAAAAAGGGAAGCCTGAAGAAGGATGTTGAGCCTGCTAAAGAAACCGCAAAAATAGGACAGAAGAGAAGAATGTCTACAAGGAATTTTCCTATTCAAAAGGAAGCTGATGCACCACCTCCAGCACCTACTCCAATAAAAAAAATGGCAGGTGCTCCTGCTGAATATCCTCCAGACCAAGGCAAAAAGGGTAAATGTTCAATCTTAATGTATAGAATGATCATTTATGATGGTATATCATTAATGTTCAATTTCAATATATAGGTGGGAAAAAGAAAACTCTAGAAGTGAAGAAAACTTCTAAGGTTGCTGGCAAAAGAAAAGCAGGTATATAATGATATATTATAAATGTTCAATTTCTATATATAGAATGATCATTTGAGAAAACAATTTTGTTCATTTTATCATTTGCTTACTGTACATTTTCAATACTTAAACAAAATTATATATTTAATTTTCAGATGTCAGTCCTGCCAAGAGAAATGCTGGAAAGAGAAAAAAAATACAAGAAGTACCATCAGATGAACCCTCTCAAGATCCTGACAGTGATGATGATAGTGAAGAGTCAGTTTATAGAGCAGAAGAAGAGCCTGTCAGTGAGGATGATTATGAGGTGGAGGAAGAGGAGGAAGAGGAAGAAGTAAAGCCAAGGAAGAAACAGGCAAAGAAAGGGAATTCAGTGAAGGCAAAGGTTGAAAAGGAGGAGCAAAAGATGGTACTGTATGATGAAGGAAAGATTGAAGGTAGGAGAAAAAAGAAAATGAAAACTGAAATGGTTCAAGCAATAGAAACTGATGAAGTTGAGGAAATTCAGGAAGATGAATTTGAGGAAGAGAAATCTTCAAAGAGAGGAGGACATGTGAAGTTCATTGCATGGATAAAAAAGATGACACCTACCCAAAAACAACAAATTATTGATATAGGGTTAGGATCACTTCTTGACATTAGTTTACCTCAACTTGATCAAAAGTTCTGTAACTGGTTATTGGGAAGTTTTGAAGAAAATAGCCAGTATTTTGAACTACCAAAGAATGAAAAAATAGAAATTGAGGTAGAGGATGTTAGGGTAGTTTATGGCTTGCCTACAGGAGAAATTCCAATTGTTGAGCCAAAGTCTGATAAAATTAGTGAGGAGTATGCAGAATTTCTGAAGAAATGGAGAAAATCATGGTCAGGAAAAACTCCATCAGTGAGTCAGGTATGATCAGTTTTAAATGTTCATTTTAAATACATTAAATGATCAAAAGTATAAATGTTTTGTTCATTTTGTTTGCAGATTGTGAATGGATACATAAATGATAAATTCACCAACAACAGACCACCAAGTGAACATTTCATTACTAACTTTTTAGCAGTGGCTGTGAACTGCTTGATGAAATGTGTATCAAACAATCAATGCCATTTCAAATTTCTTTATTCTATGATGGACAAAGAAAACATAAAAAATTTGAACTGGTGTCAGTTTGTATATGACTCACTTATC